TGTGCGTGTACTCACCTAATTGTGGTTGCAGGGGTCGAGACTCAGCTCCTGGCCCCGCCTCTTCACTGATCGCTACTAGGTCCTCTCCCTCTATGCTTCCTGAGCTTTGTCATACCTCTTCTTAAAACTATGTATGGTTCCTGCCTCCACTACTTCACTTGCTAGGCTATTCCACTTCCTGACGACTCTATGACTGAAGAAATACTTCCTAACGCCCCTGTGACTCGTCTGAGTCTTCAGCTTCCAGTTGTGACCCCTTGTTTCTGTGTCCCCTCTCTGGAACATCCTATCTCTGTCCACCTTGTCTATTCCCCGTAGTATCTTATATGTCGTTATCATGTCTCCCCTGATCCTTCTGTCCTCCAGTGTCATCAGTCCAATTTCCCTCAACCTTTCCTCGCACGACAAAACCCTGATCTCTGGGACTAGCCTTGTTGCAAACCTTTGTACTTTCTCTAGCTTCTTGACGTGCTTGACCAGGCGTGGGTCCCAGACTGGTGCTGCATACTCTAGTATGGGCCTAACATACACAGTGTAGAGTGTCTTGAACGATTCCTTATTAAGGTATCGGAACGCTATTCTCAGGTTTGCCAGGCGCCCGTAAGCTGCAGCAGTTATTTGGTTGATGTGTGCCTCCGGTGACGTGCTCGGTGTTATGGTCACCCCAAGGTCTTTCTCCCTGAGTGAGGTCTGTAGTCTTTGTCCACCTAGCCTATACTCTGTCTGCGGTCTTCTTTGCCCCTCCCCAATCTTCATGACTTTGCATTTGGCAGGGTTGAATTCGAGAAGCCAGTTTCTGGACCACATGTCCAGCCTGTCCAGGTCTCTTTGCAGTCCTGCCTCATCCTCATCCGATTTAATTCTTCTCATCAGCTTCACATCATCTGCGAATAGGGACACTTCAGAATCTATTCCTTCCATCATGTCGTTCGCATATATCAAAAATAGCACTGGTCCTAGAACTGACCCCTGTGGGACCCCGCTCGTCACAGGCGCCCATTGTGATACCTCTTCACGTACCATGACTCGTTGTTGCCTCCCTGTCAGGTATTCCCTGATCCATTGCAGTGCCCTCCCTGTTATATGTGCCTGATCCTCCAGCTTCGGCACTAATCTCTTTTGGGGAACTGTGTCAAAGGCCTTCCTGCAGTCTAGGGAAATGCAGTCAACCCACCCCTCTCTCTCGTGTCTTACTTCTGTTACCATGTCATAAAACTCCAGGTTTGTGACACAGGATTTGCCTTCCATGAACCCATGCTGGTTTTCATTTATAATCTTGTTCCGTTCCAGGTGTTCCACCACTCTCCTCCTGATAATCTTCTCCATGACTTTGCACACAATACATGTCAGAGACACAGGTCTGTAGTTTAGTGCCTCATTTCTGTTTCCTTTCTTAAATATGGGGACTACATTTGCTGTCTTCCATTTCTCAGGTAGTTGCCCAGTTTCAAGGGATGTGTTGAAGATTGTGGTTAGGGGCATGCACAGCATCTCTGCTCCTTCTCTAAGGACCCATGGGGAGATGTTGTCCGGTCCCATCGCCTTTGAGGTATCAAGGTCACTTAGTATCTTCTGCACCTCCTCCTCGGTTGTTCGTATGTCATCCAACACTTGTTGGTATATTCCCTCTTGATGTTCCCTTCTGTGCTGTCTTCCCACAGCCCTTCCTGTCTCTACTGTAAAAACTTCCTTAAATTTCCTGTTTAGCTCCTCACATACCTCCTGATCATTTCTTGTGGGTTCTCCACCTTCTGTCCTCAGTCTGATCACCTGGTCTTTGACTATTGTCTTCCTCCTGATGTGGCTATACAACAGTTTCGGGTCAGTCTTGATTTTCGATGCTATGTTATTTTCATACTGTCGCTGGGCCTCCCTCCTTACCTGTGCATACTCGTTCCTGGCTCTGCGACTAATCTCCCTATTTTCATGTGTTCTCTGTCTTCTGTACTTTTTCCATTCTCTATTGCACTTTGTTTGTGCTTCCTTACACTGTCGGGTAAACCAGGGGCTCGTTCTGGTCTTCCCATTGTTTCTGTTGCCCTTGGGAATAAACCTTTCCTCTGCCTCCTTGCATTTTGTTGTTACATATTCCATCATTTCATTTACTGGCTTTCCTGCCAGTTCTCTGTCCCACGGAACCTCCTGCAGGAAGTTCCTCAACCCTATGTAGTCCCCTCTTTTATAGTCTGGCTTTTCCCATTCAACTCCTGTTACTCTCTCCACTTGCAACTCTACTATGTACTCAAAGCACAGAACCACGTGGTCACTAGCTCCTAGGGGACTCTCATATGTGATGTCCTCAATGTCTGAACTGCCCAGGGTGAACACAAGGTCCAATCTTGCTGGTTCATCCTCCCCTCTCACTCTGGTAGTGTCCTTAACATGTTGGTGCATGAGGTTTTCCAGCACCACGTCCATCATCTTGGCTCTCCATGTTTCGGGACCCCCATGTGGCTCCAGGTTTTCCCAGTCAATCTCCCTGTGGTTGAAATCCCCCATAACCAGAAACTTCGCCACTTCAGCAAGTGTGTCCACTATTGCTCTGTTGCTCTCTTCATATTCCTCTCTTGGCCTCCTGCAGTTCTGTGGTGGATTATACATCACTGCAATGACCACCTTGTGCTCCCCAGACTGAAGTGTACCTACTATGTAGTCCCTTTCTCCTGTCTCGTCTATGCCTCCCATTTTCTCGAATTTCCATCGTTTTTTTACGAGCAGAGCAACCCCTCCTCCCCCTCTGCCCCTTCTATCTTTCCTCATTATCTGGTATCCTGGTGGGAAGATTGCATCTGTTATTGTCTCCGTGAGTTTTGTTTCTGTAACTGCTATGATGTCTGGGGACTTCTCATTGATTCTTTCTTGCCATTCCTCAGATTTATTCGTTAATCCATCAGCATTTGTGCACCAAACCTTCAACTTCTGTTCTAATACTGTAACTGTGGTCCTGGGGGAATACTGGGGTTGGGAGAGCAGGAGCCCTGGTGGGGGCCTGTGGGGGGTTGCAGTGGAGGTGGAGGAAGAGCTCCCATAGGGGGTTGCTGTAGGGGTAGGGTTCGTGGTGCAGGGGGTGGGAACAGAGGGATCGGTGTGTGATGGTTGGTTTGGATTGTTCAGTTGCCTTGGGGGTGTCGTAGCTGGAGTCCTTCTGCAGGTGTTTCTGGGGTGTGTGCTTATCCTTCCACCTGTTCCTGGGTTATTCTGCTCTCATTTTTCATTTCCTCCGATTCCTCCTTTCGTTTTTGCACTCTCTCTTTCAGTATCATCCTTTCCTCCTGTGTTCTGTCTCGATCGAGGTACACATTCATGAACTCCTGTTTGCCTCTCAGCCGTGTGTATGTGTGTGTGTTTGTGTGTGTGTGTGTATGTATGTGTGTGTGTGTGCGTGTGTGTGTGTGCGTGTGTGTGTGTGTGTGTGTGTGTGTGTGCGTGTGTGTGTGTGTGTGTGTGTGTGTGTGTGTGTGTGTGTGCATGTGTGTGTGTGTGTGTGTGTGTGTTTGCGGGGGTCCAAAGTCAATAACGGGCCTCGCCTCCTAGTCTCCTTTTTCGGCATCAATGAAATTTTCTGGCCTTCTGGTATCTCTTCTCTTTCTTCTGTAAAGACCTCTATGATTCTTGCACTAAGCACCTTACATACTTCTCTCATGCTCTGTCTTTTCAACTGGTCCTTCGTTGTTGTCTTTTTTTCTTATATAGTCGTGAAGTAAACTGGGTTTAGTTTTGATGCTATATCATTTTCAGATTATCTCTCAGTTTTCCTTCTTATTCTTGCGTATTCCTTTCTGGCTCAGCTCTACGTTTCTCTTATCTCTGTAATTTGATTAACACTAGATTTTTTTCCAAGCCTTCTTCCTCTTCCCTTTGGTCTCTCTGCATTCCTGATCAAACCATGGGCTCTTTTCTTTTTGCATGGTATGAATCTTTCCTCTTTCCCCTCCCCTCCCCTCGGAATTTTGACTATTGCTTCCTCCATATCTTTTACAGTTTTGCATTCATATATATTCCTTATTCTATTTAATTTCACTCAGAGTTTAGCTGTTCCCATCATACACTGCATGGGGCTGTTTCTGTCATACACTGCATGGAGCTGTTCCCATCATACACTGCATGGGGCTGTTTCTGTCATACACTGCATGGAGCTGTTCCTATCATACACTGCATGGAGCTGTTCCTATCATACACTGCATGGGGGTGTTTCTATCATGCAATGCATGTGGCACGACTTTTTTTATACTGTGCACACCCACTGCAACAGACCCATCCTCCCATCTAGATCAAAATTTACTGATCACATCAAAACTGAGGGTGCTGTGTTCTCACGCCATCGGAGTTCCCTACTCTATTCAACTTTTCTGTTAATCACTTCCTGCCTCTCTTCATTCCCATTTCCATCAAGTACTCAAAATTAATTACTAAATGATCACTGGGTCCAGTTCGCTCCCCATAAGTAATTCAGCTGTGCCGTATTCATTGCGTGTGTGGCGTAGGAAGGGTTTACCTATTAGCGTTCTGGTTTATTTTTTACCTATTTGTAACTAGAGGAGCAGAGCTAAGCCTCCAACACGACTCCAACACTACTGCCAACACATCTCCAATGTAACCATCAACACATTTACGATACAACCACCAGCATACCTTCAACACCATCAACAAAACGTTTCCAATTCTACCACCATCATTTCTTCAACACAACCACCAGCTTGTCTTCAACACCACCACCAACACTCCTACTACACTACCATTAACATGTCTTCAACTTTACCACCAACGCTTCTTCCCTACTACACAAACCTCCAACGCTTCCACCAACACGTTTCCAACGCTAACCACATCTTCAACACTTCCTCTAAATTCTCCTCCAACACTTTAACACTATCCCCATCATTCCTCAATCCCTACTCCAACACACCCGTAGGGCCCCAGACGGTTCGTGGCTTCCTGGAGGGCGGTGAAAGTTAACCAATATAAAGAAGACGCTGGAGATGTTACCTTCAGTGTGTAGTGTCCAGCAGTCATCGTCCTCTCCCCTAACTAGGCACCAAACTCATTACTGTCTTCTTAATTTAATCCTAGCTCTCAGCCTTCACGTGTGTCAACAGTCATGGTCTCCAGCAAGGTAAGACATAGGGAGACAAGGCATGGGTAGAAATAAGGTGCTAAAGAAGGACGAAGACTTGAGACTGACGAACCCACATAGAGCCAAAGAGGATTTAAAATGAGTGCTGAAATGTGTTTATTAGTGTTTTTGCCTTAAAATAAGGAGACTAGAGACACTAAAATGTTGACAAAACCAGCAGAAATGAAACGTTTGTGTTTTATGTAACCAGAGTAGAGACAGTGTGGACACTGACCGCATCAGAGACATCGTGGACACTGACCAGACCACAGAGAGCGTAGCTTCTGAAGCTGTAAAAGCAACTTGAACTTGAAAAATAAGGCAGCTACACAAGCTTTGGACGCTCCTGCGAAAGTTTGACATCGCCGTCAAGATTAAGACAGACTCCAAGACGAAAACCAACGACAGGTCCATGACTGATGTTAAGACCAAACGTGTAACACTGGCACTGACTCCAAAGTTATCTAAGGATAATCTTGTACTGTATTACACAGATGGATTAAGAAATGAACTCTAAAAATTTCCACTTTGGATTACAGAAGCTACAGTACAATTTAGGAAGAACTGTGCTGCAAATATTATGAAAATGACAGTGACTGTCGTTCATTTTTAAGACGACATCAAGTGGTTATAAACTGATTAATATGACTGGAATGTACATGTTCGTCATGTTGATGATTGTAATACATGTTTTCATGACAATGACTGTATCTCATACGTGATGAATATGACTGTAACATATATGATGTGAAGATTTGAATCCAAATATCGTACTACCAACAAGAGTGAAGACAGACGGGTTCCAGAATAAGCTTATACTCAGACAATATTTCTGAGCAAAGTTTTTTCAGGGGGAAAGCTCAACACTGAGCGAAATGTTGCCACAATCAAACCTTGTTCTACAATCGCTATATTTTCTCTCAATGTGATTATGTAATTAATTCTAAGGACATTGGGAAGATATTTCCGATAGATTTTCTGAAGACATCATTGAAACTGATGTCATTGACACTGATGTCACTGACACTGATGTCACTGACACTGATGTCACTGATACTGATGTCACTGATACTGATCAATAACACTGATGTTCTAAGATGTATTAACTTTTTGAAGGAACAGAGAATGTTGAACAGTGGCGTTGAACACTGATTCATCGCCACTGACAACACTGATTCAACGCCACTGACAACACTGGTTCAATACCACTGACAACACTGGTTCAACTCCACTGACAACACTGGTTCAGCGCCACTGACAACACTGGTTCAACGCCACTGATAACACTGGTTCAATGCCACTGACAACACTATCTCAACGCCAGTGACAACACTGGTTCAACGCCACTGACAACACTGGTTCATCTCCACTGACAACACTGGTTCAATGCCACTGACAACACTGGTTCATCTCCACTGACAACACTGGTTCAATGCCACTGACAACACTGGTTCAACTCCACTGACAACACTGTTTCAACGCGACTGACAACACTGGTTCAACGCCTCTGACAACAAACATTGGTTCAACGCCACTGACAACACTGGTTCAACGCCACTGGTAACAAACATTGGTTCAACGCCACTGACAACACTGGTTCAACGCCACTGACAACATTGGTTCATCTCCACTGACAACACTGGTTCAACGCCACTGACAACAAACATTGGTTCAACGCCACTGACAACACTGGTTCAACGCCACTGGCAACAAACATTGGTTCAACGCCACTGACAACACTGGTTCAACTCCACTGACAACACTGGTTCAACGCCACTCACAACACTGGTTCAACGCCACTGACAACACTGGTTCATTGCCACTGACAACACCGATTCAACCCCACTGACAACACTGGTTCAATACCACTGACAACACTGGTTCAACTCCACTGACAACACTGGTTCAGCGCCACTGACAACACTGGTTCAACGCCACTGATAACACTGGTTCAATGCCACTGACAACACTATCTCAACGCCAGTGACAACACTGGTTCAACGCCACTGACAACACTGGTTCATCTCCACTGACAACACTGGTTCAATGCCACTGACAACACTGGTTCAACTCCACTGACAACACTGTTTCAACGTGACTGACAACACTGGTTCAACGCCTCTGACAACAAACATTGGTTCAACGCCACTGACAACACTGGTTCAACGCCACTGGTAACAAACATTGGTTCAACGCCACTGACAACACTGGTTCAACGCCACTGACAACATTGGTTTATCTCCACTGACAACACTGGTTCAACGCTACTGACAACACTGGTTCAACGCCACTGACAACAAACATTGGTTCAACGCCACTGACAACACTGGTTCAACGCCACTGACAACACTGGTTCAACGCCACTGGCAACAAACATTGGTTCAACGCCACTGACAACACTGGTTCAACTCCTCTGACAACACTGGTTCAACGCCACTCACAACACTGGTTCAACGCCACTGACAACACTGGTTCATTGCCACTGACAACATTGGTTCAACATTACTGACAACACTGGTTCAACGCCACTGACAACACTGGTTCAGTGCCACTGACAACACTGGTTCAACGCCACTGACAACACTGGTTCAACGCCACTGGCAACACTGGTTCAACGCCACTGACAACACTGGTTCAACGTCACTGACAACAAACATTAGTTCAACGCCACTGACAACACTGATTCAACGCCACTACCCATATACCTACCTGGCGGGTATTTCAGGGAGGTGTCAACGCTTCCTAGGCCCTCTCTATAACCAGGCCTCATGGTGGATCAGGGCCTAATCAATCAGGCTGTTACTGCTGGCCGCACGTAATCCAGCGTACATACTACAGCCTGGCTGATCAGGATCTGACCATCACTAGTTCATTACCATTGACGACGTTCAGTTTAACCTTGGGTACTGAGATAACGGTACTGGAACTACCTTCAGACTGACAGTACTGGTATCATTTTCGTACCTAGAGAGTAAGAACGAGTTTCAGAATGACGGTACCTAGAACGTAAGGACTGGCCTCAGAATAACAGTACCGGAAACATGTTAGGTACGTAGAACGTAAGAACTAGGTTCAGAATGACGGTGTCTAGAACACAAGAACTAGGTTCAGAATGACGGTACCTAGAACACAAGAATTAGGTTCAGAATGACGGTACCAAGAACGGAAGGCCTAGATTAAGAATGACGGTACCTAGAACGTAAGGACTAGCTTCAGAATGGCGGTACTGGAACCATCCGAGGTACCTAGAAAGTAAGAACTAGCTTCAGAATGACGGTACCTAGAACGTAAGAGCTAGCTTCAGAATGACGGTACCTAGAACGTAAGAACTAGCTTCAAAATGACGGTACTGGAACCATCCTAGGTACCTAAAACGTAAGAACTAGCTTCAGAATGATGGTACCTATAATGTAAGGATTAGTTTCAGAATGACGGTACTGGAACCATCCTAGGTACCTAGAACGTAAGAACTACCTTCAGAATGACGGTACTGGAACCATCCTAGGTACCTAGAACGTAAGAACTAGCTTCAGAATGACGGTACTGGAACCATCCTAGGTACCTAGAACGTAAGAACTAGCTTCAGAATGATGGTACCTATAACGTAAGCACTAGCTTCAGAATGACGGTACTGGAACAATCCTAGATACCTAGAACCTAAGAACTAGCTTCAGAATGACGGTACACAGAACGTAAGGACTAGCATCAAAATGACGGTACTGGAACCATCGTAGGTACTTAGCCCGCGAAGAATTGCTTCATCTAATGGTATTACTGAGGAACAGCTAAGGCTTCCTAAGAGCGACCGTGTTTCAAAATCATGGCCAACAAAAAAAAAACCGTTGAGGTTTCCGTTTGCCTGTTGACGCACTTTGATGATAACCGTTGCAGGCGAGAGTCTGGCAATCGTGCATGATACCCTACAAGTGACTGTTGATGTTATTAGATCGAGCTTCTTTTTTACCCTGATTGACTAGACTGGACACCTGACTGTAAGTATTGTTATTTTTTGCTGTTTTGAGGAACGGCCGGTAGACAGTCTGCTGAGACGGAGGATCGAGCCTCCTCCACTCCTTGCGTCGAATGAAAGATCCTCATTATGTTTAGCGTTTTGTGATGTATTAAAAAAATTAATACCTGTTCTCCTTTCCTAATTTCTTCTCTTCTTCTTCCTCCTCCTCCGTCTTCTCTGCCTCATCTTTCTAATCCTCCTCTCTCACTTACTCCCCATCTCCTTTTCTCCCTCCTCCCCCTCTTATTCTCTGTTACCTTCTCCCATTTACAATTTCAAATACATTCTTCTCCATCTGTCATCTCCTCTTCCTCTCCCATTTCTTTCACACTTTCACAATTTGCACCGCGACACACACTTTCCCCTCGACCCATCCCCAGGTGCTGTCTGCAGTGACGCTGACAGTGATTGCAACGGTGATGACAGTGATGATGGGCCAGCTGACAGAGGCACACCCAGGGCTGGGGTATGAGTACCCTCCAGTGAGTAGAATACCATCAGAAGCTACTATAAATTAACCCCAGTCCAATACATAAGTGTCTTTTTGCATATCTTGTCGGTATCACTACATCATTTTTCACGACGTGTGATCCCTGGACTCACACAATCCACAATACAATCCTGGTGTTCACTTTCCCTGCCACAGTATTTACTTTGATTCCTAAACCTAAAGATTAAGATGAGGCACGTTGGTCTGGACATAATATGTTAGCAATTTTGTACATATTTTTATTTTTACTTTGAGCTGTTCTGCCACGTTCATTATTACTGGTTTGTGTTGTTTGTCGTAGCTTATATGTTCTCTTGTAAGAATATCAAAATATATATCGTAACTTTTTATTTTGGACTACTTGCATTTACAATGTTTACAATGTTTTGTAACCAAAGAATACAATAATAATGACGAGTGAAACGTGCAACAATTAGGTATCTTTATTCTACAACGTTTCACCTACACAGTAGGCTTCTTCAGTCGAATACAGAGGAGACAGCAGAAGCAATGAAGATGTAAAGACGATGTAATCAGTCCATCACCCTCGATGACGCAGTTTTGAGGTGGTCAGTCCCTCAGCCTAACTACCTCAAAACTACGTTTTCGATGATGATAGACTGATTACATCGTCTTCCTAACTGCTGCATGTGTCTTATATCAACTTGTCGGTAATGTACTCCGTTATCATATTCACTATAGTATAATGAGCAGGAGTAATTTGCATGCCTATGTTTAAGAGGCAGATATATTGTCTTGTTAAATGTGCAACACCTTAAGAAGACTAAATATGGAGACAGCATAAACAGTGGAAAGATAATGATGTGACTAGTCCATTAAAGTTGAAGAAGTAGTATTCAGGTGGTCAGTCCCTCAACTTTAAGAAGTTTCTTCACCTCCACAGTCTTGACCAAAGAAGCCTACTGTGTAGGAGAAACATTCTAGAAATAAAGACAACTAACTGTTGCACATGCGTCTTACTCATTTACTGGTCACAGTGAGGCCCATGCCGACATTCCTGTGGTGTATAGAAATATATCTAGTTAGATAAATATTGTTAGCCCGGCATGTACCAGTGATTAACGCACTGACCTGAGAGTTTCAGGACTCGTTTGCCATGGGTTCGAGTCCCACTCTCTCTGTAATTTGATTTGATTTGTATACCATTACGAAAATGATTCTTACTTGCTATATTAGCCACCTGACACAAACTATTTGTCTCTCCCGAATCGTAAAATAATACAGATCCCGTATGAATTTTTGTACGGGGTGCGGGACCAGTACCATGGGACAGACTTCGGCCACGAAGAGCAGGGCAACGGAGGCGCTGTCAGCGGCCGCTACTACGTGCTGCTGCCGGACGGTCGCCGGCAAGTGGTCACCTACACGGCAGACCACGTAAGGGGCTATGTTGCTACCGTCACCTACGAGAACGCCGGTTTCAGTCCCCAGGGACCCACACCAGTCATCAACAGCTATTTCTAGATCTACACACACACACACACACACACACACACAACACACACACACACACACACACACACACACACACACACACCAAACTACTGTTGTTAATTCGTAACTTACCGTCATTTTTAGCCCATGGCCAAGAGCTGTGAATCGACCCCTGCAACTACAAATAGGTGAGAGCACATACACACACCAAACTACTGTTGTTAATTCGTAATTTGCCGTTATTTTTAGCCCTTATTAATCACATTCTTTTAATGCAAACCTAACATTAGAATTTATTCCATTAGGGCATCTATTAATTACCTATCTGTTTAAAGGTTTTTATCCCTATTAACACACTGTTTACTATCTGTTATTTAATGAATTTAAAAACGCTGGTGTCAGCGCTGAAGAGCCAGCCTTCAGCATCTTAATATCCCAGTTTAGGACATCTGTTGTTAAACCTAGTGATGTATATACATTTGTTTTGCACTTGTTAAGTTGTGACATGTAGAGTGAATAATTAGATTATATGTGTTTGTTTCATGTTGTTCATAAGAGAGTGACACAGCAGCGTGTGTTTACACAGTCTTCAGAGGTTACAGTGTTGCTGCAGTACAGCCAAGTGCTGTGACGAGTTATCTTCGTCACAGTGTGTTGTGATGAATTATCTTGGTCACAGAGTGCTGCTTTTATATATATGCTGCTCACAGTGCTGCGAAACGAGCTACCCCTCGCTCACAGTGCTGTGACAGTGCAATCACAAGGTGCTGTGAAGGACCATCTAGTCTTGTATAGTGTGATCGACCGACCTAAGTAAAGAATTACTACAAAGACCCTTTTTTTCAATTGACATCGACCAGTCTGGACTCTGCATGATTTTACTCCTGAAGTCGACACTCACAAATACCAAGCTACGAACGTACTCTACTGCCCACTTGACCGTAACTGCCGGACTTGTCGACTGTGCTTAATATAACCTGTTAACTATGCTTGTAGGACCTGTCGACTGTCCCTGAGGAACCTATCGACTGTGCTTGTAAAATATGCCTGTGATACAAACCTCATACACCTGTCTGTCGAATATTTCATGACCTGTCGAGAAAAACACATACCTGGCAACCTTGACACTGCCCTGTTTACCTTGACTGACTTACACCTGTCAATTGTAGCAGACATCTGTTATCTATAATAGACACCTGTCAATTTTAATAATGTCATGTCAGGTTATTAATAACATTAGGGGAAAAACTGAACTGCACGCCAAAAAAAAAAAACTTTTCCCCCTTATAGTCATAGTCTGATGTTATTGACTCGTATTTTGAACTATGAATCATATTTTGACGCAACTGATTCGTATTTTGACGCAACTGACTCATATTTTTAACGCTACTGACTCATATTCTAACGATGTAACTCACATCTTGCAGCAATTAACGCTAATTTTGACGTTATTAAATACTATTTTGACGTTAATAAATCATATTTTGACTTTATTAAATATTCTGATGTTATTACATCATGTTTAGACATTATTAAATCACATTTCTACGTTATTAAATCACAATTCGACATTAAAGACTCACATTTCGACGTTATAGACTCACAATTCGTCGTTATAGACTCACATTTCGACGTTATAGACTCACATTTCGACGCTATAGACTCACAATTCGACGTTATAGACTCGCATTTCGACGTTATAGACTCACATTTCGACGTTATAGACTCACATTTCGGCGTTATAGACTCACATTTCGACGTTATAGATTCAATTTTCGCGCTTTAATCAAAATACGTTTAATAATTATTATAGATGTTCGACGTTAACCACATTTTCAGGATAATACATTTCGCGTTATAGAATTTATTATAATTATTTATTTATAAAATAATATTTAACGTTTGTAACTATCCTAAATTATTTTGATGTATAAATAATAACGTAACTTTTAAAACCTTAACTACCTTGAAGTTAAATCTTTTGATGTATAATAACTACAACAACCTATAACTACTTCGAAAAAAAATGTTTTTGATAATACAACCTTTATACTTATACAAACAACTGTTAAACTACGTTTTATTAAAGATAGCTTTTCGTTATAAAAACTTTTAGATTATATCAACTGACTTTTGGACGTAATAGTCTAATTTTCAACTTACTAAACTACTTTTCCGAAGCTATAAACTTTTCGATGTTAAAACTAACTTTTCGACGTAATAAACTATTCTACGTTATAAACTAACATTTCGACGTTATAAACTAACTTTTCGACGTTATAAACTAACTTTTCGACGTTATAAACTAACTTTTCGACATTATAAACTAACTTTTCGAAGTTATAAACTAACTTTTTGACGTTATAAACTAATTTTGCGAAGTAATAGACTATTCCATGTTATACTCTAACTTTTCGACGTTATAAGCTAACTTTGTGAGGTTATAAACTAACTTTTCGACGTAATAAATTAACTTTTCGACGTAACAAACTAACTTTTCGATGTAATAACTATTCCACGTTATAAACTAACTTTTAGACCTTATAAACTGTTCGACATTATAAAATTTTTCGATGTTATAAACTAACTTTTAGACGTTATAGAAAACTTTTAGACTTCATAAATATTCGACGTTACGAAGAAGCTTTTAGACGTTGTAAACAAAATTTTCGAAGTAATTAAGGTAACTTTCGACGTCATAAACTAACTTTTGGCGGTATAAACTAACTTTTGACGATATTAAGTAACCTTTCACGTCAAAAACTAAAATATGGCCTTAAGCCTTAAATACACAAATAACTCGCATGTAGGAGAAAGAAACGTTTGACGATGTTTCGGTCCAACTTCGACCATGAACTAGTCACACTAACACACGAAGGTAAAGGAGTCAGTATATATACGAGAGGAGGACATATGTTGGTTACCTATGTATTGTTATTGTTCTAGTCACTGTGATGTGACTTGTTCTTAAACTCTGACATCAGGACCCTAAAACCATAACGTCTTAAAACCATGATGTCTTAAAACCATGACGTCTTACGCCATGGCGTCTTGAAACCATGACTTCTTAAAACCATGGCGTCTTAAAATCATGACATCTTAAAATCATAACGTCTTAAAACCATGACGTCTTAAAACCATGACATCTTAAAACCGTGACGCTTTAAAACCATTACGTCTTAAAATCATAACGTATTAAACCACGACCTTTAGACATAAAATTCGGCCTGTCGACCTTAAACATGACCTCTAAAACGACAAGCTGATACGTGACCTGCATCCTCAAAAGCGACCTAAATCCTCACTTCAAGACCTAAAACCTAATCGTTCGACATAATAATCTGACCCGTCTACCTAAAAGACGACCTCTCGGTTTAAAAACCTGATCTCCTTAAAACCACATTTCTAAATCTGAAATCTGGCCTCTCGACGTAAAACATGACCTCTAAAAATTTAACCTGACTTCTTGAACTAAAAATGAAACGTGGCCTCTGAACCTGAAACCTGATTTCTGGACCTGAAACCTGACCTCTGAACCTGAAACCTGATTTCTGGAACTGAAACTTGACCTCTGGCCCTGAAACCTGACTTCTGGACCTGAAATCTGTTCTCTGGACCAGAAACCTGACCTCTGGACCTGAAACCTGACCTCTGGACCTGAAACCTGACCTCTGGACCTGAAACCTGACCTCTGGACCTGAAACTTGACCTTTGGACTCGAAACCTGACATCTGAGCCTAAAACCTGACCTCTGGACTGAAATTTGACCTTTGGACCTGAAACCTGACCTCTGGACCTGAAACTTGATCTCTGGATTTGAAACTTGACCTCTGGACCTGAAATTTGACCTCTTAAATTTAACTCTGGCCTCTTCTTCTGACCCAGACATATAGACCTATAACCAAACCTTTCGATTTAAAAAAGCGGACCTCCTAAAACATGACTTCTGAACGTAAAACCTGACGACTGCACCTAAAATCAGACATCTAGAACGAAAACCTGACATCTAGAACTAAAACTTGACATCTAGAACAAAAACCTGACATCTAGAACTTAAACCTGTCATCTAGAACTAAAACCTAACATCTAGAACTAAAATATGACATCTACAACTAAAACCTGACATCTAGAACTAAAACCTGACATCTAGAACTAAAACCTGACGTCTAGAACTGAAACCTGACATCTAGAACTAAAACATGACATCTGGAACTAAAACCTGACATCGAGAACTAAAATCTGACATCTAGAACTGAAACTTGACATCTAGAACTAAAGTCTGACCAATACGACTAAAATCAGACATCTAGAACTAAAACCTAACAACTAGGACTAAACCTAACAACTAGGACTAAAACCTAACATCTAGGGCTAAAATCGGACATCTAGAACTGAAACCTGACATCCGGAACTAAAATCTGACATTTAAACCTTAACAGCTGACTTCAGAACCTTAAAACGTGACTTCAAAAGCCTAACCAGACCTATTGCTCTATAAACTGATTTGTCGATTTAAAGTATGGCCTTAAAATTTTGAACGTCTTCAGTACCTAAAACTGAATGACATGGCTGAAGCCTAAATTCATGACCTAAACTCATGACCAAAACTCATGACGTAAACTCGTGACCTAAACTCGTGACCTAAACTAATGACCTAAATTCGTGACCTAAATTCGCGACCTAAACTCATGACCTAAACTCATGACCTAAACTCGTGACTTAAACTCGTGACCTAAACTCGTGACCTAAACTCATGGCCTGAACTTATGATCTGAACTTATGACCCAAACTCATGACCTAAACTCGTGACCTGAACTCGTGATCTAAACTTATGACCTAAACTTGTGACCTAAACTCATGACCTAAACTCATGACCTAAACCTAAACCCATGATCTAAACCCATGACCTAAACTCACGACCTAAAATTCGACCTGTCGACCTTATAATGTGTCGGTTAAGAGAGTCTCAACTTTGAGACATTGCAATATATTTTTGTGGTCGATAACTTTTATATAATAAATTCACAATATATCATCGAACCTTTCACTATTGTTAGAACCTATTCGTTTTTAAACCCTGGACTTTCCAACACCCCTGAACCCCAGTGGCTTTCCAACATCCCTGAACCCCTTTGGCTTTACAACATCCCTGAACCTCATTGGTTTTCCAACATCCCTGAGCCCCATTGGCTTCCCCTAGTCTGTCCATCATAATGAGATGTGTCCCATGAAACATGTCTATGGGAACAGTGACAAGCTGACAGATCACAAGACGTCGTTGTCACTAATACACTTTAAAGGTTATATACACAATACACAAATAACCCGCACATGAAAGAGAGAAGCTTACGACGACGTTTCGGTCCGACTTGGACCATTGACAAAGTCACACTAACCAGAGGTGGAGCAGGACGGCTATATATAGGCAGGAAGAGGTGGTGGTAGTAGTAGTAGTAGTAGTAGTAGTACAAGAATTGTATATAATACCGACAAGATGAAATTAAGACACATGCACAACACCCGGGCATCCCCATCGTAGACGTTTCGCCATCCAGCCAGCCACTGAATGGCGAAACGTCCACAACAAAGACAACCAGACGCCGCACATGTGTCTTAATTTCATCAGTAGTTGTAGTAGTAGTAGAAGAAGAAGAGGTAGTCGTAGTGGTAGTGGTAGAAGTGGGAAATAAGGAGGACGAGCCAGTCAAATACAGTCTGTGGGTATCTAGCTCTCTTGCAGTGCTCCCCTTCCTTTGTATTTGACTGGCTCGTCATCCTTATTTCCCACTTCTACCACTACCACTACTACTACCTCTTCTTCTACTACTACTACTACAACTACTGGTGAAATTAAGACACATGTGCGGCGTCTGGTTGTCTTTGCTGTGGATGTTTCGCCATCCAGTGGCTGGCTGGATGGCGAAACGTCTACGATGGGGATGCCCGGGTGTTGTGCATGTGTCTTAATTTCATCTTGTCGGTATTATATACATTCTTGTAACATGTGAAACGACTATACTAAAGATGTAAGTAACTCTGCACAGTGAGGTCTGAGCCAAAAACCCATTAAGAGGCGCGTAGTTTCCCTGTCTCCTAATATCATGTTTATTTTTCCCATATAATCTACGTAATCCGTAAGCTGTTGCTGGCTACATGCCCAACTATGGTGCTAATGTGAGAATCGTGAGAATGATGTACATACCCCATGTTAGGTCCTTAATTGATTATGCTGCTCCCATGTTGATATTAGCTAGAGAAAGTTCTCTCCGACCCTTGGAGTTAATG